AGGGAGAGACAGACGGAGCCACGCAGACGGTCACCCTGTGAGGCCCTAGGCACGCGTGGCCTGGACAGGACTTCCTGGTTTGGGCCTTGGTCTGTTTGGTTCGGGTTTATGATGCTTGCCCTCGACAGAGTGCTGATTTCACAGCTGGGCGGCCCTGCACCCTCTCCATCCTAATTACAGACCAAGAGTCCCGCAGTGAAGAAACCTGTCTCTCTCTCTCGGATCCTCATTTCTTAAACTCACCTGACAGGATGTCCTTTCTCCACATCCCGGGGGAGCAGGGATTCTGATGAACGAGGAGGAAGAGAGAGGCCCCTCCAGGTGGAATCGGCAAAGGTGTGGAGGTGACATTTGCAGCACAAAACTCCTCTGCAACATGGGGCTTCCAGGTGGCTCCTTGAAGCCAGACAGAGAATTATCTGGATTCCCCAACCCCCCCCCACGATGTTGGAGGGCTTCGCTCCTAAGTTCGGGGTTTTGTGTCCGCATGAAGCCCTTTTCACAACACGATTTCTCTGAGTCACATTTTGTTGTTTTATCTTATAAAAATTCTGCCTCGGAGACAGACCCGCTTTTTAAACATGGGACGGTTTTATCTGCTCAGCCTGTTTACTGCTTCGCGCCAAGAAAGCTTTCTGAAGTCACAGATGTCTTGAACTAACCTCCAAGCAAGGGGGACGCAGTATGACCACACTAGATTGATTTTTCCCCCCTCTCCTTAAAAAATGGAAAGAAAGAACCAAATGTCTGTAAATTAAATTTTCTGGTTCTAATGAGGCTTTTGAACTCCTGTAAATCATCCTTTTGTTTCTCTGGTTCCTGCCCCACCCCCAGCAAGTCCCTACGTGGCATTTGGGAATCAAAGACTATTACTCCATAAAAACAAAATAAGGGCCGTGGAGGTCGTCGGGAGCCATGGATTGTGGGGGGAGGGAGAGGGGCTGGTGGCTTGAGACATAGGTAGTTTCTACCCTTCATTGGAGCCCTAAAGAAAAAGGCTCAGGACAATGCCTCAGCCTAAGGTGACCACAGTCTTTTGCAGGCCCTTTGGTGCCTGGGAACAGCATGTTTCCTGGCGTTGCTGGGAGCGGAGGTGGGCTGGGGGGCTGCCTGGGGAGCACGCTGTGCTTTGCCCTACACAGCTCTGTTCCGGGAGGGGGCCCAGGCTGGGAGTCTGGGCTGAGACCTTTTGGCTGCAAAAACTAGGCATCCCCTGAAGCCACCTTTAAGAATGTGGTGGTATCATAAAGACACATGTGGCTGGGGACCTGGGCACAGGGAGCCATCGGGCTCCAGGAAAAGTCAGAGTGAGAAGGGGTTCGTGGAGGGAAGTAGCCTGATGTTCCCGTGGTCCTCGCAGGGCCTTTGCCCCACCATGGCCTCCCCTGGCAGCAGTCTCTCCCTGCTCATCACCTGCCTGGCTGCTCCTCGGAGTCCACTCCCCCCACCCTTTGCTCGCAACCCCTCCCTTGCCTTTCTTTTTCTCCATGGCACTTGTCACTCACTCTTGTTTCTCTCCTGTCTCCCTAACTAAAATACCTGTATAAAGGGTCTTGAGTGTCTTCCCACTATTGCTACCTCAGGGCCTGAAAAGAGACTGTCACTTAGTGGAAATAAATAAATTTATATGAATGAATCGATGAATGGGTAAAATCCCAGGGTTGCTCAGGGTGTGTCCTGCGCCATTCACAAAGCTGAGAATGGGAATAGTAACCCGAGAGTGTGCAGCGTACGACCTACACCATTGGACTCAGTGACCCTGGGCTCTTTATAATGCTAGCTTGCTCATCACTCATCATGGCCACACTGGCTTCACTTCTACGTCCTGACCAAGCCTCACCCCCATAGCCTCATTTTCTCAGATTTATCTACTTCAAACACCCAACGTAGTGAATTTTATTAAAGTGCCTAGTTGTCTTGCTTTAAGCCATATCCTCAGTCATTCTAGCCAGCTTGGAATGGTGGTCCTCATGTGACATCCTCTAGCCTGTTCTGGCTGGGGAGGGGGCAAGTTTGCCTGTGTTTACAACCTGCCTAGACCCGTGCAAGTACTTCACACATGATGTCTTATTGTATCCTCGTACCCTCCCGACAAGGTAGCACTATTCTTCCACCTGTGCTGTAGGTGAAGAACTGGCTCAGAGACTGCTATCAAGTTGGCTGGGTTCCAACCTGGCTCCGTCGCTTCCTGGTAGCGCATCCCTGCGCAAACTGCTTCATCTCCCTGAGCCTCGGTTTCCTCATCTGTAAAATGGGCGTAAAGTAATACCTATTTCGAAAGAATTGTGAGAATTCAATGAGGCGGTGTGGACAGCTCGGTGGCCACCTAGAGGGTAGCAGCGTGGATGATGTCTGAGTGTGTTTTCCTTCTCTCAACACGGGGGCTTTGCACCACTGTCCGCAGTGCCTTGGCTTGCACACGCTCTGGTCACTGGCTGAAAATGGAAAAGGTGGTTTTCCAGGGTTTGAACCCTTGGAGGAGAAAAAGAAACCACACTTGCATGCTTGCACACGAGCTCGTGCAAGTCTGCATCCAACTGCCAAGGCTGTTTTGTCACCTGATCATCGCCCAGTCGTCCTGGGCTGCACGGTGAGCCCCGCCCAAGGAGTGGAAAGCTCAGGGTCATGCCCACTGCCACTCAGCAGGTGACTGAGTGTGGGTGACAATCCTGGCTCCTGATTCTGAGTCAGGCAGCATTCCCGACAGAAACCAAGATGTGCTCTCAGAGAGTTCATTCGCCCATTCGGCAAATACGACTCTGCTGATGGTAGTGAAGAATGCCGGGCTCACATTTCTGTAAACATATAAACATGTAACTCCACGATATTTCAGGTGGTGATAAGTGTTGTCACAGACAAAAAGAAAACGCGGATTGTTTCTGATCAAGTGGTGAGGGAAAGCTTCAATGGTGAAATGATATTTGAACTGAGCCGCAGAGGAGGTGAAGGAGAGAGATATGTAAATATTGGCAGATGAGCCTCCAGGCAGATGAGACAGCGAATGCCAAGGCCCTGGGGTGAGCATTTTGCTACAAGGCAGAGCCTGGAACACACCTGATGCTTCCTGCTTTACCTGTGAGAGCCCCTGAGTGTAGAATTGCCAGGTAAAATACAGGACGCCCAGTTAAATTTGAATTTCAGATAAACAATGACTAATTCTTAGTATAAGCATGTTTCAGACAGTTTGAGACATATTTATATTTTATTTTATTTTTATTTATTTATTTTTTTTGAGACAGAGTCTTGCTTTGTTGCCCTGGCTAGAGTGAGTGCCGTGGCGTCAGCCTAGCTCACAGCAACCTCAAACTCCTGGGCTCAAGCGATCCTCCTGCCTCAGCCTCCCGAGTAGCTGGGACTACAGGCATGCGCCACCATGCCCGACTAAGTTTTTTCTCTATATATTAGTTGGCCAATTAATTTCTATTTTTAGTAGAGATGGGGTCTCGCTCTTGCTCAGGCTGATTTCGAACTCCTGACCTCGAGCAATCCGCCCGCCTAGCCCTCCCAGAGAGCTAGGATTACAGGCATGAGCCACTGCGCCCGGCCATATTTATATTTTAAAAAAGTAGTTACTGTTTATCTGAAATTCAAATTTAACTGGGTGTCCTATATTTTTATTTGCCAAATATGCCAACCCTAGTCAGCGTTCAGGTATCACGTGACCTATGGAATAAAATCTCAGGGACTGGCTGGAAGAAAAAGCGGACTCAGAACTGGGTCACCCTGAGGGTGAATGCTGGCTTTGTCATTCGTCAGTCATGCGCCTTGACCTCTGTGCCTTCATACCCTCCTCTGGGAAATGGGAGATGGCACATCTAATTTCAGGGTGGTGAGGAGATCAGAGATAATCCGCAGAGCCTGGACACCAGATAGCTGTGTCTCGGGTGCTAACTCAGTAGTCTTTGCATCATATGTAAGGTGAGTTCAGACCTGCTAATCTTCCCAAATTATCTTTCTAACACGAGTCAAGACTAACCTACTTAGAGTGAGGCTTTACCAAGGGGGAGGCAGTAAAGATAAAATTCAAAGTAAAAGAAAGAATAAATTTTTAAGGAAATGAGCAGAAACAGTGAAGGAGGTGAGAGGAGGAAGAAAACAGAGATGGAGAGAAGCAGCGTGTAGTTGGTGAAGCATTCCCAGGAGGGTGGAAGCCTGGAGCCCAAATTCTAATTCCCGTTCAGCCCTGACGCACACAACAGTTTCTCTCTGGATCTCAGTTTCTCCATCTTTAAGACGAAAGGGTCGAACCATGCGTCTGCTGGACTTTTGATGCCACTGACCGGAAACTCAGTACACAGTGGCTTATACTGAAAAGTCCTGGGTGGGATGGCTTCAGGCACAGTGGGTTCCAGGGGCTTATGGATGTTGTCGGTCTCCTGCCTCCTCTTGTTTTGTTGTCCTGTGTAGTGTCATTCTCTAGCAGGCTCTCTCTGAAAGGAGGAAAGATGGCCGGCAGCAGCCCCAGGGCAAGGGACCCCACTGAGAAGAAAGACCCTTCTTCTCAGTAGTTCCCACAAAAGTTCTAAAGTTGAGTCTCATTGGCCTGGATTGAGTCACATGACCTTCACTGAGCCAAGCACATATGCTGCTCTGATTGGCCAGGCCTGGTCATGTGTCCACCCCTGAATTTGGAGGGAGGGGTAGTCCACCTGGAAGTTCAGGGCTGGGAGTGAAGAAGGGGTATTTCCACTGAAGAAAGTAGAAGAACTCTCACCAGAGGAGAAAAGACAGGGGTCTCAAACTAGATGGGCAGTTTCCAAAATGTTTTCTGTGAAATCCTGGGAGGAGGAAAGGGTGGTGGTGGTGAAAGGAAAGCAAGCTGGGGCTCGGGGCCCTTGCTGGGGTTACCAGATAAAATGCCGGATGCCCAGTTCTGTTTTAATTTCAGATAAACAGTGAATGAATGTGTAGTGTGAGTATGTCCCGTGCATTATATTTATTATCTTATAATAAATATTCATTGATTGTTTATCTGAAATTCGAATTGAACTGGGCGTCCTATATTTTTATTTGTTTAATGTGGCAACCGTAGCCCCTCCCCTGCTCTATTTAACCAGAAAAGCTCCATTTCTGTTTTCTGTGTCGGGCATCTGTGAAAAACTTCCTTGGCCACAAGTTTCAGCTGCTGAAAGGAGAGAAGGCCTTTTAGTTGACACCATCTCCCTGTCCCCTGCCAGCTCTGCCTTGCTCTTTCCTGCAAGGCTGCTAGCTGCAGGGGACAGAAACCGTCCCGGGCTGCCTGGTGCAGAAGTGGAGTTCACCAAAGGGTCTTGGGGGGCTCACAGAGCCTACGCGAAGGCTAGAGAACCAGGCTTGGGGGCTCTGCGCTTGGGAACATGGCGCCGAGCACCCTGCAGAATGGGCGGGGCTTGGGCTGAGAGCTTCCGGGCGGGTGCCTCTGATTGGCCGAGACTCAGTCACGTGCCAGTGCTCGGGGCCGCAAAGCTGTCTGGGAGAGGGCGGCAGGTTCTGCTTCCCGCGGTGGGGACTCCCCAAACCTGAGAGAGGGGTTCTGGTGCTGCTGGGAGGAGGGAGGTGCCGAAAGCAGCGACAGTGAGTGCTCGCTCCTGCTGGTGAAGATGGAATTCTGACTCTTGATGTTTCTAGAAGGAGGGGTTGCTTATCAGAAGCTCAGGGCCAAGCAGCAGGCGTCAGTGGGACGGGGACTCTGGAGAGGGTTAGGGTCAGATTCCGCCCAGGGACGTGGGCAGCCTCAGCCCTTCAACCTCTGTCTCAGTGGTCCTTGAATAGTGAATTGAACGGCGCTGCCTTGTAGGAGGGTTAGGGAGAGACTGGATGCATCCTCCAAAGCCAGCACAGCCCCTTATAAAGTCAGGGGAAAACTGATCCACCTACTCTGACTGGTAGAAGACTGGTGTGGACCGGTGTGTCGTCGTCTTTGGTTTAACGGTCTAAACCAAGGGTGGGGAGACTTTTCATGTGGGAGGCTGCATCAATTTAGCTGTGACCAGATAAGGCCACATTCAAGAAACTTCAATTAGGTATACTTAGAAATGTACCTTATTTGGTAAAAGTCTAACTACTATGGACTTAATAATTTCAGAAATGAAAACTATTTGTTAATTTTAATGACTTTTGATGACTTTGTTGTGTCTGCTTTTTGTTGGAAAGCATTTGAATATTTGGTTGCAGCATGGAGGCCCGCAGTTTCAGTTGATCCTCTAGATGGGTGTCAGTCATTTGTGACCTTAAGGGCGTCTTGCCTTGGGTTAGGTAGGAGAATGTAGATTCACAGCAACAAGTGGTTGAAAAAGAAGAAAGCATTTTTCAGGCGTGTTGCCGAAGATGTGGGTGTTCTACATTTTTCCATATTTCAATTTGATCTTTCTTAGCATCAAACAGTGACTTTAAAATGTCATCTACTAAGAGCTCAGTCAATTAGATGCCTTGGTGATATCAACTAGGTGAGGCTGAAATGCTAATTTGAGTGTGATGTCATGATTCTCAAAGCCAGTGAACCTTTCCTTATACTTTCCAATTAATAGGTTTATAACAGCTGCATAGTCTTCAAATGATTCACATACATCATCCTGGTCATCAGTGACCTTTGCTAACTGGGGAAAATGTCTATCTAAAATTTCCTTTCGAAGAAGAAATATTTTGAAAAAGATAGCTTTTTTTTTTTTTGAAATACTTGGGTTTTTTTTTTTTGCCACATATCATATATAGACTTAGTTTTACCTTGCAAAGAAATATTCAAGTCATTTTGATTTGACATGGTATTACACAGAGATGCTGCATATCTATAGACATCTGTCTGTAATTCACATTGCTGATTCTGTTCTTTGCAAAACTTAACTATCTGTTCTGGCAGAGAAAAAATTTTGGCTAACACCTGTCCCTGCCATAGCCAACACACTTTAGAATGATAAGGCAAATCCACACTGAATACTTCATGGTTTAGCTTTAGCATGTTATGAAACTGATGATGCCATGTTGCAGCTGCACAAATATAGTTAATGACACTGTGTAATTGTTGCAAAGTGTCACTTGAAATAGTAGCTTTAGCACAGAGATTTTGCTGATGTAAGACACAATGCAAAGAAATGAGATTATCCGGATCTGTTAATACTTTTTTTTATCTGTGTGGTAAACCCTTCATGTTTTCCTGTCATGGAAGGTGCATTGTCTGTACATACACTCACTAATTTACCAAATTCAGTCCAACTTCATGACATTTATCTTGAAAGTCATTGAGGATATCTATTCCCCATATTCTATTTGCAAGAGTGACCAAAGCGAGTAACTCTTTGTAGCAAAGATAATCTTTTGTTATGACCTGAATGAAGTATAAAACCTACACTGAGTCCATAGTATCAGTTGATTCATCCAAAGTGATTGAATAATACATTATTTTCCTTTTGAAGTATTACATGAAGTTGTTCTGTTAAGTTGAAGGCTAATTCATGCCATGTATCGGTTATGGTTCTCTTTGAGAGAGGCAGTGTTTTGTACTTTGAAACATTATCTGGGTCTCAGCATCCTACAACTTCTACAATGCATTCTTTCACAATTTCTACATCACTGAATGGCTTCCCATTTTTCCGAGTATATAAACTACTTTATAAGTTACTTCAGTGGCATTATTTCCAGGTCTTATTGTGGCTTGAAAGAATTGTCTTTGCTTTTGCTTTTCATCTTTCAATTTCTGCAATACAACCTTTTGCTCCTCTCTCTCTAATTTAAAATATTTGTGGTCCTTATGAATGTTATAATACTGCTGAGCACTGAATTGCTTTAATGTTGATATTGCAGTATCACCAAGCAAGCGAATCATCTTATATTTAGCAGAAACAAGATAATAATGCAATTCCCAGTCCTCATTTAAAAATCTGTTTTCTTCAGCATTCTCTTGGTCTTCTTTGACATGATGGGCTGTTAAGCAGACAGAATTAAAAAATGCTGTTGAGCTGTGCAGCTATTCACAAATTCCACTTCAAACAGAAACACAGTGAACCACTGTCAAAAGCTGAAAACAAACTGATGTACTTGACTCGCATAAACTCTCACCAACCAGCCTAGTGCGGTAGTGGTGCCAGTCAGGCGGGGGAAGTTAGAACTAACTCATGAGCGTAGCAGCCATCATTTTAGCCCTTCTGGCTTACTAAGGCTCCAATTGTGTTGGTCCATCTGGATTATTTTGTTGAAACTTATTATATTCTTTGGCATTTTAAATACGTTCATTTTAAAAATAAAATAAAAATATAAAAGATGAACAAAATGTATTAAAAATAAAAGGATTTGTTCTGTAAAATTTGGATTCAGTCAAAAGGCTGCACTTAAGGACCTAGAAGGCCACATGAGGCTTTAAGGCTGCAGGTTCTCCACTTCTGCTCTAAACCAAATTAAATTAGTTGCCAACAGATAAGCATTGAGAATTGTCACATTCAAACCTAGGTTTCCAGCTTCTCTTGAAAATCAGATCTGGTAACGTTGGAATCAAATTCTTGGATAGCATCATCCACGAGCATGTGATTTCTAGTTGGCCCTGGTCCCCACCCCTCTTCCCTGCATCTCAGCCAATGCGCCTTGCCAATGTCATCATGTCTGTGCTCATGGCTTCCTTTAGTGGAATTAGGAGGAAAGTAAGTATTTTTGGGGCCCTGGATCTCTGTATTTGTGCTACCTGCTGGGTGCCTGTAGGCATTTCCCTGCGTGACTTCTGCAATAAAGGAGGAGTTAGAGGGGAGCTCAGAGATGCTCTAGGTGTTCGTGGAACACTGACAGGGCACCCACTGTGTGCAGAGCCGCTGCTGGCACTCAGAGGCGCACACAGGACCAAGACAGGCCCTCTGTCTTGGTGTGACAGTGCTTCGGGACTCAGGTCCTGCAGTTGGACAGCCTGCGTGACAATCCTGATGTCACCACTCACCCTCAAGGTGGTTTTGGGTAGTTTCCCTCAAGTATTTGAGCCTCAATTTCCTCATCTGAAAAACAGGAATAATAATAAAGAACATCTCATAAGGTAGTTAGTTGGGAGGAGTAATGAGTTAAAAAAAAAAGACACTTGGGATCGTAGCGAGCCAATACTGACGCTTCATTTGAAGCTTCAAACAATTTGTTAGCTGTGATGGCAGAGAATTAGAGCATTTCTCCTCAGTGCGGAGCCCGAGGATCACAGCGCCAGCACTCTCTGGGCGCTGGTGAAAAGTGCAGACGTCCTAACAGGTCCCGGGGGATCCGTGTTGCTTTAGGACAAAGCATGGGGAACAGGGCTGCTCCCTGGTCACTGCACCGATAATTCAAGGCCTGGGCTGCGCAGACAGATGTGGCTTTGGGTCCTGGCTCTGTCACAGCTTAGCTGTGTGACTTTGGGCCAGTCACTCTCAGAGTCTCGGCTCCTTCCGTGTGATCTGGGGAGAGAACAGGCCCCTCCAGGCGGAGGGCCACGTGGGCTATGGCAGTGCAGGCCTAGCAGGTGCCTGGCAGGAGCACATGCTTCTGATGGCCAGCCACTCCTGTCACGTTTTGGCAGAAGGAAAGAGCTCCCTCTAAAGCTGAACCAAGGACAGTTAATGCTCAGAACAAAACCAGACTTCCTCCAGTCCGGGAAGAAATAACAGCCATTATAACAATAAACAAAGCCGCAGCTTCCCCCTAGCTGGAGACCCTGGACATCCCGCTGTGGTTTTGGCTTTCTCTTGGGCGCGCGGGCGCACACGAGTGTGTGTGTGTGTGTGTGTGTGTGTGTCTTTCTGTCTGCTTGTGTTTTCCTTTTGGAACAGTGGCCATTGTCATGTATACTTTAGACTGACAGTAGACGTTTAGTCTCTTACTCGGCTGTTTAAAAAATTTTGCAAAGAAAATCCCAGAGTGAACATGCGCAGGCAGCCTGGACCGCAGTGTGATGAAAGATTTGCATGGGAGGCAAAATTTCCTCACAGGTGCGCTAAAATAATTTCCTCTGCTGGGTAGGTCTGTTTGCACACAAGCATTTTCAGCCGTGCTGGGGGCTGAGGTCCAGGTCACTTGGCCTAGGCCAGGTGGGGTGGGCAGAAGGAGCAGCCCCAGACCCCTTGGCTGTGTTGGGCACCTCCATAGGTCCCCCAGGCGGGCTGAGCTTCCTCCAGGGCAGATGGTATAAGAGCTGTGCAGATGAAGACGAGGTCCCCACCTCGCTGAACAATGTGTGTGTCAGCAGAATTCTTTTCTTCTTTTTATTGCCTTGGAGAGACATATGCTGACGTGGTCAAAATCACTTCGGCAAGATGTGACTGATGAGGTAGGAAATGAAAACTCCTTGCCCAGCGCTGGGAGGCAGCAGGCGAAGGGTGCGGACACAATAACACCCCTCGGGATTCCAGGCTGTCTTTCATCCAGGGGAAGGAGGCCCAGGTGTGCAGCAGACTGGGCCAGATCGGATTACCACCCTGGAGCCCAGCGCTGGGTGCCCTGGCTGGGGGAGCTGCAGCCGGTTGGGGTATGGGTGGGGGGCTGGCTGCCGGGGAAATCAGATAGGCCCCAGGGAAGTCCCTGGACCCTGGCTGGTCTCGGGTGGGGCTGGGGGACAATGAGGGGCTTGGAATGTAGGGATTACTCTTTCATCTCTGATATCACCTTCCTGCTCTGCTCTCTGTTTTGCCCTTATGCTATTGCGTGCACTGTTTGTCTCTCTCTCTCTCTCTCTCTCTGAGTCAGTATAAATTTGCTTTTCTCTGCTTGGCCAAAAAACAGATCATCCTGAAAAGTTTTGTTGTTATTTTTTAACTCAGGAGGCTTTCCTATTAACATACTCTCCTTTTCATCCAGATGGTAACTAACGTATCAAGGGCTGTCTCTGCACCCTTGGCATCGTGGGAAGCCCCTTTGCGACCTGAATTACCATCTGAATCCTCACAGCAACTCCAGGAGACAGGTGCTGTCAGTCCCCCCATTTTAGAGGGGGGACCAGAAGTGCAGAGAGGTGAAGGCCCTTGCCCATGGTACACAGCGGGGAGTGGCAGGGCAGGTGGGGAACCCTGGTGGGCAGGCCTCAGAAGCCGAGGCTGCCTTCTGCGGCCCAACACTTGCCCTGGATAATCCCAAAGGCTTTCCTGGTTGCGGCCTCAGCTCCCAAACCAGCACGGGACGGGACGTGCTCCCAGCAGATATTCCTTGCTTGCATGTTTGCATTCATTCATTCAGCATTCACTGAGGGCCTGGTGCAGTCCTGGGTATTCCTTTAGGGGAGGAAGAAAGAGCCCACCCCCTCCCCCAGCAGGGATCACAGGAAAGATAAGGCTAAATGGGGGTTGTGGGAGTTCAGAGGAAACCTTATCTCTGGAGCCTTGGATATGAAGAGTGTGTTGTCTCTTCATCTTGCATGAGAAAAGATGGCTTCTGCAGGAAGGGCCACTGGGGTGAGAGGTCTGGGGGACTCTCCAGCCTGGCGCCTGCAGATCAGCACCCAGTCCACTGGGCTCCTAGGGTATTGGTTGTGCTTATTATTCGTTCAACTGGCACTTATTAAGCACCTGCTGTGTGCCAGGCTCAGGGTGGGCTTGGGTGAGATGCAAGAAGAGGGGTAAACTGGAATCTTTGCTTCAGACTTCTCAGGGGTGGCTGAGGGGGGACAAGGGTAGATGCTGACAAAGCGGTTGTTTCCATGGGTACAGTGGCAGTACCCATACCTGCGGCCCTGGGCCCAGCCTCACCTGCTTGGGAAGGTCCCTCCAAAAGACTTGAGAGCGCATGAGCAGCAGAACAGGCTGCCGAATGGTGGGGCGCCCTGGCTCTCATCTTCATTTAGGCTTTGGGAGAAGTCGACCTTCTGCATCTCTGCTGGGGGCACGGCTGGGGCCGGGACAGAACCCACTCTGCAGGGCTTGTGCTTGCTGGCTCCTCTGCCTCCGATGCCTTTCCCTGGGAAGGCCGGCTCCCCTCCCCACCCTCTTCACCCCACCCTGTCAATCTCCACAAATGACCCGGGTTCTTCGGCTGCACACTCTCAGATGGCCCCCGGGTGCTGGCGGCACTCCTGCAGGTCCCCGGGGCAGACCCCTGCGCTCCACTAGGCCCATCCCCGTATTCCCTCTCCTGCGTGCCCTCCTCCGCCTGGCTCCTGCACCCTGCCCGAGCAAAGCCATGGGCAAGAACTGCGTCCCCTTCTGTCCCCAAACCTTATTTAAAGTTCTTGCTTTGTCTCCCCCGGCCTGAAAGCCAGTGTCTCGATGGAGGCCTCCAGACAGGCCGCTCATTGCTGTGTCCTCCTGCCCAGCTCTGTGCTTGACGCTGGGGCCGGCCACACAGTTTCAGGGCCTGGTGCAAAATGAAAATGAGGGGCCCTTGTTCACAGATTATTAAGAACTGCACTGTGGTGACAGCAGAGCAGGAAACCCAACATGGGGTCCTTGGGAGATCAGGGCCCTGTGACACTGCCCAGGCTGCGGCCCGAGCGGCCCACCTTGCCTGGCACCCAGTGCTCAACACACCTGTGCTGCAGGGGGAGATAGCGGGTGACGAGCAGAGGGAGGGGGTTTCGGGGGCCTTGGTGGACCAGAGGGCAGAGGCTCAGCCCTGGCTGAGGGGGCTCAGGCCTGCTCAGGCCTGGCGTTTTCCTGCTACCTTGCAGGACTCTGGCCTCTCTCTCCACATGGTCTCTCTCTCCATGTGGCCTCTCACCATGTGGCCTGGAGCTGCTGTCTTGTACAGAAGCCTCCAAGGGAGCCTCTGCTCCAGAAATCTACAGAAGGTGAGATCCTGCTCCCCAGGCCTCCTGCTCCAGGGAGGACCAGCCCCCACAGGAGGCTTAGCCAGAGCCCCCCAAACACTGCCCTTCACTGCTCATTCCAAACTCCCTCTGGGGACCCCCCTCTGTCCCAGCCCCAGGAGAAGAGGGAGACAGGGCTGAACTTTTACCCCTCTGCACTCATTGCTACTCTGGGTGAGGGGTTATTTTGCTCCCGGTTTTACAGATGAGGAAACTGAGGCTCTAAGCAGCAGTCATTCGCCTAAGGTCCCACACTGGCAGAGGAGATGGGCGGGTTCTAAGGTGTCTGGGGCCTCCCTGTGACCAAGTGGGGGGCTCAGCGTCATTTATGGGATGACTGGAGGGTGACATCTCTGGCACAGACCCTGGCAGGGAACCGGATGCGAAGACGGGTGGGCCCCCCGGGGAATGCCAGGTGGGGGCAGGGAAGGGCAGACAATGGCGCGGTGTCTAGTCTGGGGAGCGTGGGGGGGGGCCTGGAAATATACGGGCCCCAAAGAGGAGGAGGCGGGGAAAAACTCCCTAGCTCACACGAAGTTCACTTATTCGTTCTACAAACGTGGACGGTGCGGCCACAGCGGCTGCCGGGCGCTGGGCGCTGGGCTCCGGGAGCTGCCGGGACGTCGCTGGCCTGGGCCCTCGGGCGCTGGGTCTCTAGCGCGGAACAGCGCAACCGGGAACTGCAGGCAGCAAGAGAAATTAAAGGAAATAAAGCAAGCGTGCTTTGGGTTGACAGAAGCAGCGACGGCCGTAGCGAGGCCAGTCTGGGACGGTCTCCGAGAGGCGAAACGGCATCTGGCGCGGGCGAGGGAGGGAGGTGCGGGGGAGGGAACGCCAAGTGCGAAGACGAGGTAGAGGCAGGTCGGGGGAGCCTGGAGGGCTCAGCGGGGCTGAACCAACGGAAGGGGGACAGAGGGACAAGGCGGGCTCAAGGGTCACCGCCTCTGGGAAGCTTCTGCTACCCGGGCGCTTCCCCCGCGCTCCCCCGCGTTTTCGTACCGCAGCCCGAACCCCGCAGGTCCTGCTCGGGTGTCCGTCCTGGTCCGGACTGCGAGTCCCGAGGTCGCAGGGCGGGCTCGGATTCCTGCCTCCACGTCCCCGCGGCGTCCGGCCCGGCGCTGGGCACCCCGTGGGCACTCGGTAAATATTTGTGGAGCGCACCAGAAGGAATGAATGAACCCATTGGGCACAGCTGGGGGGAGGGCGGGGCCGAGGGCAGGTGGGAGGCCGCCGGCGCGGGAGGGGCCCCTGGAAGCCCGTCCTCCTCCTCCTCCTCCACTCCTCCTCCTCCTCCCAGCCCAGCGCGTACCACTCTGGGGCTTCCGAGGCGGCCTCTCGTGCGAGCCGGGGCGCGCAGGGCTGGGAGAGCGATCGGGGCCCCTGCTCTCGGCACCGGAGGTTGGAAGAGGGTGGGTCGCCGCTGCTCGAGGGCGAGAGCGCCGGAGCAGCGGGAGGAAGGAGCGCGCGCCCGCCCGCCGCCTCGCTGACTCCTCGGCGCTAGCTCTCTGGACTCGTAGGTTTGCTGGCTGCTCCTCCCACCCGCGCCCGCCTCCTCGCTCGCCTGCTCGCTCGCCGGAGCTGCTTTCCAGCCCCGCGGTGCGCCCGGGCGAGTGCGGGGCTAGGGGCCCCGGGCCAGCACCGAACAAGGGGCGGGGGTCGGGGCTGAGCGCAGCCGGCCGGGGAGGGGCCATGTCTGGCGCGGGCGCAGCGGGGCCAGTCTGCAGCAAGTGACCGAGCGGCGTGGACGGCTGCCTGCCACCTGGGGCGGCGCGGGCCCGGTCGCCCGGAGCCCCGAGCCCGGGTCGCGCGTAGAGCCGGCGCGATGCACGTGCGCTCGCTGCGCGCCGCGGCGCCGCACAGCTTCGTGGCGCTCTGGGCGCCCCTGTTCCTCCTGCGCTCCGCCCTGGCCGACTTCAGCCTGGACAACGAGGTGCACTCGAGCTTCATCCACCGGCGCCTCCGCAGCCAGGAGCGACGGGAGATGCAGCGTGAGATCCTCTCCATCTTGGGCTTGCCCCATCGCCCGCGCCCCCACCTCCAGGGCAAGCACAACTCGGCGCCCATGTTCATGCTGGACCTGTACAATGCCATGGCGGTGGAGGAGGGCGGCGGGCCCGACGGCCAGGGCTTCTCCTACCCCTACAAGGCCGTCTTCAGTACCCAGGGCCCCCCTCTGGCCAGTCTGCAAGATAGCCACTTCCTCACCGACGCCGACATGGTCATGAGCTTCGTCAACCTCGGTGAGTAAGGGCAGCAATGGGGGTGCGCGCCTCTGTCAGGGGGTGCTTTGGGACAGGGAGGGGGCTGTTGCGCTGCTAACAAGCAGCCTGCCCAGCTTTCCGCTCCCGCCGTTTGCAAAACCTCAGGGCTTACTGGAGGACCTCTCCGCCCTGGCCCTAGTGGACCCCAAGCCGTGTGCGCCCCTAGGTAGGGCGGGTGACGCGCTGCTGGCCGTGGGGGTTGTGGGGAGGGAGGGACCTATCCAAAGCACCTTCCTTGTTAAGCCGTTGGCCGCATCTCTGGGGCCGGAGGCGCCCGCCGGGTCGCGGCTCAGTTCAAAGCGCAGGGCTCGGTCATGTGAGCTGTCCCGAGCCGGCGCGGCCCGCGCTACCTGCATTTAAAGAGCCCTTCTCGGCCAAGCCGCCCTCCCGCCCTTCCTGGGCCCCTCTCAGCCCTGCCTGGCCCTGGCGTCGCGGGCGTCGCACTCCCTTCCCCGCGCCGGGAAGCCCTACCTGTCCCCTCGCGGTGCGCCCGCCTTCACGTGCTGCGCGCTCCGAGCACCTTGGGGACCCCCTTTCGCGGCCGCCCGGCGCCCCCCTCACTCTCGGCTGGAGCTGGGGAAGAAACGTTGCCATTGCGAGTTTTCTATTTTAAATATTTAATGATAGGTCCCGGGCCGGCAGAATCCATTTTCAGCGTTTATCACGTGTGGCGCGCAAACCGCGGGTGTTAGCGATTGGGTGGCGCGGGGACGCGTCCGGGGCGGCTGGGGGACCCTGTTTCCAGCTGGAGCCGCCGCCACCCCGGGACGCGAGGCAGGGACTGCGGCCGGGCCGGCGGCTCCCCCGAGGTGTGCGCGCACACTCACCGACTTGCTCAAACTAACCCCCGGCGGCGCGCGGCGGGGCCGACGGTCAAATATTTGGCTTCCGAGATAACACGCCCGATAGCGCCGTTTCCTGAGCCGCTTTCCTTCTACTTGCGTAGCTTGCTGCGAAAACCGAACCGAGTCAAGACAGCAAACTCACGCCCACGGGAGCTGTGTCAACATGGAAATAATGATCCCGAAGCCCCACGCTGGGCACCTGGGGCACGGATGGGGGGGCGAGGATCCGCCTAAAAGCTTCCCGCTCCAGATAAGGTCCCTGGAGTTCCCGGGAGGCCATTGTCTGTGCTTAATAATAACCGAATTCAAATAGCGAAACAAGCTCCAGCAAGCAAGGGGTGGGAGGTTTAGATGCCCGAATAATTTCAGGAGAGTTTAAATTATACTGAGCAGCCAGTTAGGAACGAGGCAGCTCCTTATGTCCTGGCTTAGAACCATCTCCACGGAGCATGAGGTGGAAGCAGGTGAGGTGCAGGTGAGCGCGGTTGCACGCGTGCTTGCGTGCCTGTGTCCTGCTGGAGACCACGCCAGGAACTGGAGAGAGATCTCACTGGTGCGGCCGTGGGGCATAGCTGGGACTTGAGGACTGGGACTGGGGTTCGATTTTTCATCATCTGCACTTCTGCCTCTGTAATTTTTTTTTCTTTTACAATGTGTGTTTATTGCCTATGCCAAAACTAAAGAAAAATTCCAAATGCATACACATAAAATAATTAGTGAACGCAGTGCTCTGTAGCCCCCCTGAAGCCTGGGGTTAGCCAGGGCCCTTTCTCTGCTGGGTACTCATGACTCCTGCTGAGTGCCGCAGGTCCCAGAGGCTGCCTTCAGAGCCTGGCCGGGGTCATTAAAAAGGTATTTGTGACCCCTGGTTTCTGTGGAAGGCTCTGCAAACCCAGTGCAAAAAGTGCCCTGAAGCTTTGGCCCAGCATCATGGTCAGTCCCGGGGCTCCCCGCAGCCCACAGGAGGACCAGGCTACTCACCCGGTGACTCTGGGAACTTTGGGGCGGGCTGTTTGCTCCCCCACGGCAGTGGAAGCAAGCTGGGGCTTGTTTGGGAAGGCCACAGCTGGGTGGTTTTCCTCCTCTGGCTGTACACACACCTTTCAATCCATTTCTTTCATCTTGAAAGGACAAAGACCGGCTTGTCTGAGCCTCTTAATCAGTCAGGCTGGCTTTGGGCTTTGTGGGACCCTGACTTTCTCAGGTCCAGCTTTCTGGAACATCACTCCAAATTAGATGGCAGAGTGGCTTTTAACAGAGCACACTGACCTTGTTTTCTTTCTTTCTCTGTCTCTAAACTAGAGGTAATTAGTTAGGTGAAGACCTGGACTGCAGTTTGGCGAGACGCTTCCTGTAGATGCTTTTAAGGTTGGCCTTTAATTTCTGCTCAGCAGCAGCACAGGAATAAACTGCCTGTCCCTTCTGTTCTGCTGTGACTTGGAATTTTTCCACAGGAGGGACTTGGGAGCGGCAGTGGGTTTGGAGAGGGGTGGGGGTGGGATTCATGTAGGAGGCTTGTTGGGGGTGCTGAGTTTTCTGAGAGGGCACACTGTTTTGCCTTGGATTGCAGAACGTGCTGATCTGTAATATTCAAAGTTTTCTGAAGGTAAGTTTATTCTCACACTTTGCCTAAGAGTGAGAAAGTGTCACTTGCACATATCAAACCATTATTTGTTATTATGGGGGGACTTGCAGGGATCTCGGGGGGATTGTCCTTTATCTGCTGCCCTCTCCCCACTGCGCTGCGTACCTCCGCAGTCCTGCAGGCCGGCGTGCCTGGGTGTGTGGGTGCGTGGGGGCCCTGCCTGAACTCTGAAGGCTTTTGCAGACCTGGCGCGTTTATTCTTCTTTCTGTCTGCAGCCAAACTGGTTTTTGTTCCTATAAGTTGTTCTCCTTGGAATTCAAGTTTTTTTGCCAGGCTGAGCAGGATCTAAACTAGAGGGGAAACGAGAGGGGAATTTACGACAAAACCAGGTGCTGGGAACGAGGACTTCAGCCTGCACCTTGTGACAAAGCCCAGCCTGTACAATAAAGCCCCGTGCAATGTGAGTTGAGCTGCCTGCGTGAGACTCACATCTTCCCAGCCTGGGCCCCTTAAGTTCAATGGCAAGATTTGTAAACTGGTTTGGATTAACAAGCCCCTGACTCCTCTGTGTAGACTTAATTTTGGAATTCAAAACAGGCTACCCTCTCTTAAGTAGTCCCCAGGCAGGGGCAGTGGCGATTCAGCAGACCGAACCTAGCAATAGCCCTCACCTTTCTTTAAAAGTCCTCACCTAGCAAAACCCAGCACAGCTCTGTCTGGAATCTTCTAAAGAAGCCTGCTGGCGCTGGTGTGTGTGTGTGTGTCTCCTGTTTATCTCTGGTCCAGGTTATGAAGGAATGAAATTTGTTTAATCTTCGAAGCTAAATTATAAAAGGAGAGAGAGAGAGAGAAAGTCGGAAACCTATCATTACTGCAGTCAGCGTATAAAAGTGGCTTTTGTTAACGTTGCTGGGGAGTGGGGAGAAGGCTCCGCAGTTTGGTTTTTGCTTCATGCCATCTGCCTGTCCTTTTTGTTGACAAGTGTTTGGCATTAAGATCTCTCCCTTTGCCCCTTAAGAGCAGGCCCTACCACTGTAGAGTATTAGAAAAAGATTCTGTTACAGTTTAAAAATTTCCTTCAGGGAGTGCTTCAAGAAGGGAGCGTGGACTGCAGGCATTTGCAGCTGTAACCTGGCTTGTGTTAAAATTTGGAAGGGGCTGTTCCACATTCCAGCACTCGGAGCGCCGGCCCTCACTGGTGAGCAGCCAGAGGTTAATATAGATGTCACCCAGCCTCCCCCTTGCTTGCTTGCTCTCTGCAGAGCCCCTTCGCTATAGGCGCGCACCAACAGCTGTGTTTTCAGTAACCCTTTCAAAATCACTTCTTTTAAACCTCATTTTCCTGCTTATATAAATCAAAGATTTCCCCCCTCTTTTCCCAAGGATCTGTGTGACCTGGATTTGAACTTTTTTGATCTTCCATGTATTTCTGGCATCGGGCACGTTAAGGCCGAGCACCGAATGCCAGCTTGGGTGGCTGTTTTTGGTTTTTATTCCAGGGTTGTCGTTTGGTTGTGAGGTGGTTCCCGTGGAAGGGGTGTAAGGAAGGTAGCCCCGATAAAAGCCGGTTTCGGGGCAGCCGGGGGGATGATTCTCTGCATGCACAGAGAGGAGAGGGGCAGCTCTTTGCAAGAGCCACGGCCTGGGCCTTACCTCGCCGTGGTAGGCTGTGGAGCCTTCCCGAGACAAACACAGCTGGCGCCCGATCCCCTGACCACCGGAATGCCTGCGATGTGAGCGAATATCACATGGCCACCGAGCTCGGAGACAAGTGATGACTTCATTTCAGGGAGAGTCCCATCTGAGTTGATTGATCACCCCTATCGCTTTAACATCCCCCCGCCCCCATTTGGTAAGGTCATATTTGGCCCATTGCAGGAATCGGAGTGTCCCGAAGCTGCCCCGTCTCCGCCCTTTCCCGGCCTGCCCGTCCCTTTAGGGCTGAGCATTTTGAATGGGGAGCGCTTTGCACCAAGCTGCCGGTGTCTCACTCTTTAGACTTAGCTGGGGGCTGTCGACACACTGGCTTTTTGGCATGCCGCTGCAACGCTTTGCCTTAATACGCTTTGGCAGTGTCACCGGGGTGAGGGCACAGGCAGGGGTGTGTGGGACCTGTCGTGTCATTGTCAGGAGGAATGTGAGGATTAGCCTGTACAGCGTGGCGGTGGGAGAGCGTGCAGCTGTGTACACTTATTATAAAAGATTTAAGTCCCACTGGTAAAATCAATATATTGAGTTGCACAACCCTCTGCTTTTAATTAGTTTAAATCAAATGCGCTGGTGCCATTTTGCCTGCTTTCGCCTTCATGGGGCGAGGAAATACCAATATTTACATAGAAACTGTTAATTTGTGGCGACAATGATAACACATCGAGCTTTACTCACTCACATTGCTCCAACTTGATGGATCCCAGATCGCCGTGGAGTTGTGGCGCCGAGCGGGTGACATCAGCGGGTGACGGAGCGGGCGGGAGACGTCAGCGATGCCAGGGCAGCGATGCCAGGGCGCAGGTGGGCGTGGCCGCAGACGCAGGCCCGGGGACGCTGG